ATTATTAATTATGTAACTTAAGATCAACCACATTTCCTTCTGTTTTAGATAAATGTGGTCATTGGATTTATTAATTATGTAACTTAAGACCAACCACATTCCCTTCTATTTTAGATAAATGTAGTAATTGGATTATTAACTATGTAACTTAAGACCAACCACATTTCCTTCTATTTTAGATAAATGTAGTCATTGGATTATTAATTATATAACTTAAGACCAACCACATTTCCTTCTATTTTAGATAAATGTAGTAATTGGATTATTAATTATGTAACTTAAGACCAACCACATTTTCTACTATTTCAGGAATTTCACCTTGAAAATGAAAAACTTAATTGGTGAAATTATTTTTATAATGATGTGTTTAAATACTTCGATGCAAAAAAAAATAAGTTTTTACCCCTTATTTCAGAACAAAAATAAATTTTTATCTCTCATTTCAGTACAAATATAAGAACTCAAGTTAGATGCGTAAATTTTCAGCTGCAAAGTGTAGATTAGTTTTATTAAGCAATGTAATATAAAAGTTAGGATTTTTCTTGTTCTGCAGTAGAAAAGTGCACTATTTGTTCGTCACTCCGGTACAAGTATTGACGCTGTAGATTAGTTTTATTAAGCAATGTAATATAAAAGTTAGGATTTTTCTTGCCGCGTCAATACTTGTACCGGAGTGACGAACAAATAGCGCACTTTTCTACTGCAGATGCAATGAAAAAAAGTTTTTTTTTTCAATTCTGCCCTGAAATACGAAAATTATTATTTTTTTTATACAGCGTTGTAATCCAAAGGCATTTTTATCCAACATTTTATCAGACTCAACAATATAAAACTGAGTTGTTTTTCTTAATCCGGTGCAGAATAAAGAAATTAAGGTTTTATTATGGGCACTGTGACACAAAAGTAAGCTTTTATTTGATAATGAAATACAAAATACGAAAACGTGCAATGAGTACTTTTTTCTTATAAGATTATGTTGCATTGAAAGCGGGAAAGGGTTTTTTTTCAAATATTGCAAAACTACTAAAAACTATATTCCTCACCTTCAGTTACACTTTTATTTTCTTCAATATTATCGCGTATAAAATATAAGTAAGTCATATTTCAAACTTCATATAAAACACTCAAGTACGCCAGATAAGTCAACAAGTGCGTGGATGATACCTTAATAAGACACCAATCGTGGTGCAGCTCTTTTAAATATGGAATTTCTGATAGCTATTCCTGGGAAATACGGGACGAGGTGTAGAAGCAGAGATGATGTAACAACCCTGTCGTTTAGTTGTCTTTTTACCCTTGATCCATTTAGACCGTTAGAACCGCTAGTTCTATTGTGTCGAGTACATCTTTTAAGATAGAAGCAGACGAACAAATGCCCTCGGTTACGGTGACAGGGTTGCTGAAAATCATTTGATATCTCGCTCTCTTTTGAAATACCCGGCGTGCGTCACAATTGTATAGTTGTCAATTGCTCGCCAATACTCGTAAATTGTATTCAAAACGCTAATATCCTTATATGATGCTTCAAACTGAGAAATCCTGCAATAAGCTAAGAACCACTTATTCTGATGCTCAGAGACTTAGTACTTTGCTGTCTTTTTGTTGTTGTTGTTTTGTTTTTGTCACGTGTATTATTTTGTGTTTCAAAAACTCCGGTTTCCTAGTTTGTTTATGTTCATGAATAATGTTTTAACCACATTAATACGTTATCAATTCAGCCAAATAACGGATTGAAATACCTGAGCTACTTACAGGTTTGTGTTGCAACGATACGGCAAGTTACGTAGCTCAACAACGTAATTTGTTTATTGACACTTAGTTCTACAGGTAATACATGCAGCCCACTTTATTGTAACATATCAAAATACCTTTTGTAACATAAGTTATTAAAGAGTAATTATACTTGTAAAGATGAACACTACAAAATCATTAATTTATGAATACCTTAATATATATATATATACTCTAGTACTTACCTAATATTAATAATCACGTCCGTTTCTCCTCGAATCCAAAATCACACTGAAAAAGCTCCCAACACTACCGTGTTGAAATCCAGGTTGTTCGCTTATCAAATGAGAGTGGTATTTTTGCAACTTGCGTCCTCTAGTGGTTGTAACATGAACAACATTTATACTTACGTTATCATGTTTTAATTCAAATTTGGAGACGACTTGAATGGGTAGAGAAAGAAACTTTGTTACATATAATAATGATTAAATAAGCTTGGTAGAAATATCTATGACGTCTGCAGCAACTAAGTTGACACATAATCATGCTCTTTCCCTGAAATCAAATATATATTTTTATTCATTGGTTACAGTTCTGACAGTATAGGAAGTCACCATGCTTATATCGAGGGTCAGCCTTCTAAGCTAATGTTCTTATTTGTGGAGAGCCTAAGGAAAAACTCTTGGCACGAGCAGAGAAACAAATTAGTTTAAAATGTGTATTTAAACAGGTCATAGTTCAGGTTAGGAAACTAAAGTTCCGAGCTAATGTTCTTATTTGTGGGGGGTAAATGACTTGGAAATGAGCCAACTAGAAAATAAAATCGTAACGCTAAACAAGTTGGTCGATTTAGTCAAAAACAAATGAGGCTATAATCCTGTAATCATTCTTAAACGTTGTCATCGAAATAAAGTAAACATATATAAAATAGTTAGTATTTATGACAAATTTATTAAGACTATCTGCTGACGTCTGTACTTTTGAACTACAGACCAGAGGGAAGGCAGTCAAACAGCAGCATCCTACCACCCACTACCCATGTTAAGGGATCGACTGTCACAACTGAAGGTGGAGGGAATATTTTGTGGTGTTGTTTGGATACGAAGTAGGCCCGCTGGCCCCAAATTCCACAGCTCCTCCACGAGGCTATCCACGCAGCCGAAATATTGAGTAGCAACATTTGTCCAGATGTCTGTTGTTGTTTTTCTATAATACAAAAAAATTAAAGATTTTTGTGTTTAGAAAATCAACACGTGATTAAATTTACAAACAAGACGGGCTCAAACGAAATAAGCAGCGGTTTGAAAAATCGGCACAGTTGAGGGGAAAGGTAAATATATCAATCATTTCAATTGTTTGTAATTAAGCAGAAAGCTTCACAATGGGCTATCTGTGCTTTGCCCACCACGGGTATCGAAACCCGGTTTCTAACCTTGTAAATCCGCAGACATACCGCTGTGTCACTGAGGAGCAAATCATTTCAGAACACTGAGTTTGAGTATTAAACTTAGCAATGTATTTTAAAATGTGTTACAGTAGTAATGAGATGTAAATTATTGTTAGTTCAGTAACAAAACAACTGTAAACTTTTCACTGGTGACCAACAAGTGTAACCAAAAACCAGAGAGAATAAGAGCAATATTTGGGGAAGTTCAGTTTCATTTTTTAAAGAAGTCAGCGATACGTGAAGAAAACTGGGTTGAAAACGACAAAATGGACAGAAAATCATGAATATTTGTTCCGAACGTTTAAGTGCGGAAAAATTCCTTATAAAATGATGGTATGAAAACTACAAAGATTTAAGTGGGTGCCGGAATTCAATACCGTAATATACAAGCCCACTTAGAGCATTATGTGCTGGTGTATACCGACTGAACCTTACGATTTATCAGTAGCGCCTACACTGATCTTGTAGTTAAGCTTATTTTGAATACTTGTTATCTTGATCTTGGTTAATTGTTACATTCATTTTCGGAGCTTATAAATTTTATTTACATTGAACTGAAGCTATGTTCATATCATTCTATAGCTTAGCGATATGACCAACACAAAGCCTATTTTTGAAAATAGAAGACTGGTAAAGCACTAAAACGCCGTATCGTAAGCGTGATTATTTTTATTTAGAATAAAATGCATTACTTACTATAAATGGTATCATACTAATACCAATCTATTAAAATACTGAAATAACTGAAATTTAGACGACTTTATTGTTTGTTTGTTTTTACATTTCGCGCAAAGCTACACGAGGGCTATCTGCGCTAGCCGTCCCTAATTTAGCAGGGAAGACAGCTAGTCATCACCACCCACCGCCAACTCTTGAACTACTCTTTTACCAACGAATAGTGGGATTGACCGTCATATTATAACACCCCACGGCTGAAAGGGCGAGCATGTTTGGTGGGACGGGGATACGAACCCGCGACCCTCAGATTATGTTTGTTTGTTATGAATTTCGCGCAAAGCTACACGAGGACTATCTGCGCTAGCCGTCCCTAATTTAGCAGTGTAAGACTAGAGGGAAGGCAGCTAGTAATCACCACCCACCGCCAACTCTTGGACTACTCTTTTACCAACGGGTAACATTACCTGTACTCTAAGTGTCTTTAAACAAATGAAGATAATCACACACAAAACTTTAACACATAACACTGTGTCTGATATGACAGATCCATTCCTCAAATACCTCTTCCGTACTTCCCTACTCAAAATGTCATTTTTGCATAGTTTAATGAAGTTTAAAAAGCTTCCCATATACGAATGGTGACGTCGTCCGTACGTACCTACTTCTAATTTAATTTTTGCGAAGTTTAATTATGTTTAAAACTTCCCACGCACGCATGTTATTTTTTTAATTATATAGATTGGTTGATAAGCTCCCTTTGATACAACTAGATCGCCGCCATATTTGTTTATTAAACATTGACTTTGACAGCAGTAAAGTGTAATTTTCATTTCATTTACTACTTTTATGCTTGAAATGTTTCTATAACACTTTTCTCTCTCCCTCTGCGTCCGTTTATATATATATATATATATTGTAAGAACTTTTGCTTAATACTTTAAATTATACTTATATGGTCAAAATCATTTTTAACCTAACACACAACAAATACTCGATAAGAATGTGTCTGGGTAAACTATCATATCCAAGACACACTGGTACCCATTATGTCTTAATAATATCCGATTTATTTTACGAAATAAATATTGAAATCCAAAATAATTATTACACTTTAAAATATTCTAGCATAAGATAATTTCACTGGTATTTTGAATGAAGAATTTATTTAAAACAAGTTCAAAGTTATAATGAAATCGTGAAAGAGGTGAAAGCGTAATTAATATCAAAGGCGAGTTAATAATGAGATTTAGGAAAATGGGTGTATAATATTAGAGCAAATTATTTTAAAAAAAGTAGTCCTTATAAACAGGTTTTAACCTTACTTCTTTATTTGATTGTTTTCTTCAAACACCAGTTCTATTTCATAACATATTACATATTCTTCAGTAAATACGCCATCTATAGTATTTTACGTTATCCTATGTTCCACATACTTGTATTACGGCGAAGAAAGTTTTACAGGGGCACTATATTCAGCATCAGTATTTTGAATATTGACTAATTAATTTAATTTTATGTCCGATTTTTTTTTATATGTACTTAATACGCGACAGGTGGCTTATTCAAGATCCAATAAAATCTTAATTTTTATTTTGTTTATTGGAATATTTCAATCATCTATGTATATTTTCATCTTCAAGCGCAATTATTAAAGTGAGATGTCTAAGGATCGGTTAATATGTAGCTCATTTTAAACAATGACGGAAGATGGTACCTGTTAACTTTGTTCAATAACCAATGAGATCTGATTCCCATCCCTAACTATAAAATACAAGATTTTCTCTGCTGATTTGTATTTTTTGTTAATTGTTACTGAAGACAGAAAATGTGGTTGACTGTTTTTTCCTTTATATTTCTTGTTTAAGTTTATCCCTTTCTGTTACTAAACAGTAACCAAACGATGGTCTATTAATATAATTTCCGATGAATTTAATCCTTTATTTTAAATTATTATGGAATGTTAGACCTTATTTATTTAAAGTGGCACAGCGTTATGTCTGCGGACTTACAACGCTAGAATCCGGGTTTCGATACCAGTGGTGTGCAGAGCACAGATAGCCCATTGTGTAGCTTTGTGCATAATTACAAACAAACAAACATCCCCCCCAATGGCACAGCGGTACGTCTGCGGACTTACAACGCTAGAATCCGGGTTTCGATACCCGTGGTGGGCAGAGAACAAATAGCCCATTGTGTAGCTTTGTGCTTAATTACAAACAAACAAACATCCCCCCAGTGGCACAGCGGTATGTCTGCGTACTTACAACGCTAGAATCCGGGTTTCGATACCCGTGGTGGGCAGAGCACAGATAGCCCATTGTGTAGCTTTGTGCTTAATTTCAAACAAACAAACAATCATTTTTAGAAACTTTGAGAAAGTTAGATCATTATGGTGCTAAATGTGTCCGTTGTTTTTCTTCTCCGTGGGATATATTTCTGTAAGTTTGACAAGACAAATTACGGTCTCTGAGTATCTGTTTCCTTTATTCTTAACCAGAACAAGTGGATGAAATTTTGTGAGTATTGAAATCCATGTCAGATCGAAACTCCCCGTAGCAATATTAAACTACGTCATTAACTAAATTTATTTAACATAATGAATCGAGATACACAACCTTGCGGAAAAAATAAACTAGTATACATCAATAAAGTGTTGAAAAGAAACATTAATTCATTGAGCTGATTACAAGAGTACAAAGCACAAAGAAGCGTATAACACATTGTGTTTAACGTATTTTAATTTTACATCCACTCCATAAGAACCCCCGTGGCTCAGCGTTAAGTAAAAGGTTTATAACATTAAAAATTTAGTTCAATACCCGTAATGGACACAGCATAACTAACCCATTGTACAAATTTGCGCGTAACAAGTAAACAAACTCCCCCTTGAGACTGGTTTAAGAGTATGTTCGTTTTCTAAACACAATAAATCACGGTAAATAAAATAATTCAAGATTATCGTTTAAAATCGATCCTAAAAAACAACAAATTCGTGATTTCTTAGAAAACGGTTTCGTAAGTTGTTAAAAAATAAACTTGTGAAACCTTATTCTATTATTCTTTCTAGAAAATAAGGGTATATTGAAAGTAGGGAAAACAACTAGTGTTGACGTAGTTATAACAGGGAAAGTGCAGTATCTAAAACACTGTAAACTTGTAAGAAGTGCAGAATATGCTAATATCTTAATCTAATATCGAGTTAA